ACTGACTTACTGACTTACTTACTTACTTACTTACTTACTTACTTACTTACTTCTTACTTACTGACTTACTTACTTACTTACTTACTTCTTACTTACTGACTTACTTACTTACTTACTTACTTCTTACTTACTGACTTACTTACTTACTTACTTACTTGTGGGCAGAACACAAATCACCAGGAAAGCTTACCTCTAAAAAGCGAGATATGTCCCTCTTGTCACTGACACCCATGGCCACCACATTCTCAAAGAGCCAGAAGAAAGGCCGGTTGTCCCCTTCCTTTGGTCGAGCCTCATGGAGCAGCCGATAAAACTCAAAGAAAAGGCGACCAGTGCCTTCTGTCAGGAAAAACAAACAAAATATAAATAATTATTAATTAGGAGAAATAACCGTATGACATTCTGGGCGTTTGAGCATGTCGACCATTTGGATCCACTGAGTATAAAAAACATTACAAGATGCTATAAAGCATATTTTATTATTATTATTATTTTATTAAACCTTTATTTTACCAGGAAAATTTGAGATTAAAAACCTCTTTTTGAAGGGTATCCAGGGCAAGATAAGCTTCAGTAAGTACAATTTTACTTACATGTGCTTGTTTTATAAGAATTAACAATATGAAACACATTAAAAAGCAAAACGAAGAACAACATGTACAAACATTGGGATTAAGCAAAGATCTCTTAAGTATCAATTTAAAAGTTCTTAATGATATTAAGTTTGTCAGTTTTCAATCATTCGGCAACATATTCCATGTAAAAGTGGCAGAATAAACAAAAGCCCTTTACCCATTTCTGTAAGAGCAAATAGAACTGAAATCAACAAAATGTTACATGAACGGCAAGAATAAGGAACAGCACTTCTCTGTTCAATTAGATGACATATGTATGAAGGTAGTAGTCCAAGTATTGTCTTACTGTATATACAGTCCCCTCCAAATGTATTGGAACAGTTCTCTTGTTTTTGTAGTGCACTGAAGACATTAAGGTTTAAGATCAAAAGATGAGCATGAGACAAGAGTTCAGAATGTCGGCTTTTATTTCCTGGTATTTATATATATATATACAGTATATATATAATTATTAGGGATGCACCGATATGGAAATTTCAGCCGATATCGATATCCGATTTAATTATTGCTGTTATGGCCGATAACCGATATGAACCGATATTACACAAACATACAAATTATATTATACAAATACACACAAACACACTTGGGTCTTTTTTTGATACTGTAAATAAATAACCAGACCTCTGACATGGCTCCCTACTTCAGTTAGTCCTGGCTGCATATTTAGACGCTCTATTTGCAAATGCTGCCTTTTTGAAATTTGTTGTGCTTGTTTTGTCTTTGTGTCTATGGTGTATAATGATGTGATTGTGATGCTGTAATTCTGAGTGTTTTATGTGCTGCAGAACAGGAACCTGCTGTAAAACAGCAATTATGCTGAGTCAGGCTTGATTTTTAAGCTGAGGTTCTTCTTCCATGAAGCAGCTCTGTTGTCCTCCATCCATATTTTCAGTTCCAGGC